TGATCTATTCTAAAATCTAATACCTTAAATATTACTTGTAGGTAATATATTAGTTTCTTATAAAAATAAAGGCTAAATATTTCCATTTAAAAAATCCAACTATGATTTAGATTTGTCTGCTACTTCTTTTAGTTTTTTGAATTTCATTTCATATATTTTAAAATTATATTATTATATCTGCGCACAACAATGATAGTTATGTCTTTCTGAGGTAGTGCCTCTTTTATTGTTCTGAAACATTTCATTTTTAAAAATATTTTTGAAGCTTATTTTGTATGATATTAATATAGTCCCACATGTTTTTTTATAATTAGTGTTTGCTATGTTTATGTTTTTATTTCTGTACTTAAACTTATTTGTATTGTAATATAGAAAGCATGGCTCTTATGATCTGCATATTATCAAGTTTCTTATATTTATATCTACTATTTGTCTTCTTGTTTTATATTTGTTTTACTTTTCTTTATCTCTTCTTTCTTCTTATCATTACATATGTAACAATCACCCTATCTGTGTCTCCCCATCTTTGTCTCTCTTTCCCACCTAATCAGTATTCCATTTTCTCTCTTCTATTGTCGATTTAGCTTGATTGATCTTCTGGTATTCCTTAGTAGTTACTGTAAGGATTAACATATACACCCTTAATTTATCAGAGTTCAACTGGAATTAATATGATTCCATTTCCAAAATGTTAGAACTTTCAAATAATATAATCCCATTTACCATTTACACACTTGGCTGCTATATATATATTATAGATAGATAGATAGATAGATAGATAGATAGATAGATAGATAGATAGATAGATATAAATATATATATATAATTTACTTTTGCTTTATTGTGTTATTGTGTAAAATGTATTCCATATTGATATTAAATTATATTTAAATCATTAATTGTCTTTAAGGAAAATTTAAAATAGTCTATTTGCCAACTCTTTCCAGGCTTCTTCATTTCTTCCTTTATTTATAGGATTCAATCTAGAATCATTTCAATTCAGCTGAATGCCATTTATTTAGTATTTCTTGAAGTGAAAGTTTTATGACAGTAAATTATCTTAGCATTTTTCTCTCAAAATGTAGTTCTCCATTTGTTCAGGCCCATAGAATACAACATAACGACTGAACTCTGATGTAAACTGTGGACTTTGGGTGATAATGATGTGTCAATAGAGATTAACCCATTGTAACAAATGTATCACTTTAGTGAAAGTGTTGATGGTTTGGAGGGCTATAATGTGTGGGAGCAGAGGACATATGGAAAATCTCTGTACATTTCACTCAATTTTGCTATGAAACTGAAACTACTCTAAAAAATATAGTCTATTCACTTTGTAAAAAAAAGTTATTATTTGTTTATTTTTGAAAGATATTTGTACGAAATAAGTCAGGCATCCATTATTTCTGATATGAAATGAGGTGTGTTTTTTTGTTATATTTTCCCTGAACATAACATTTATTCCTTGAATGGTTTTAAGATTTTTTTTTCACAATACAATCAAACTAGATACTAATAAAAAAAGGCAACCAAAAAGCATTCAGACATTTAGTAATTAATGACACACTTCTAAATAATCAAGGAAGAAATCACCAAAAAATTTAGGTAATATGAGGATTTTATCTAATTCTTTACTCTTCGCCAATTTGACCATGATGTGCCCATGTTTACAGTTCTTTGTAATTTTGGTTGTTGAAATTCACTGAACTTGGATGTGTGAACTGGTGACCTACATTCACTTGAAAAATAGTCACCATTAAATCTTTAAAAAATTCTTCTGTTTAATATTATTTCCTTCCTTTTGTAACTGTAAGTTTATGCATATTATTTAGTTCTCTAGTTACATGTATGTCTGTTAATTCCCATGTCTGTGTTGTCTTCATTTCCGCCTTCATCGACATATACATATACATATATATACACATATCCATATATATATATGTATATATGTGTATACATTATATATATATATATATATATATCAGATCACAAATTCTCTAGGTATTTTTTAAGTTTAGTATTTTTTTTTTTTTTCATGTTCTGGACATTGTCAACATTACAGTGCCTCAGTCTTGATTTTAAGCTTTGTTTGAGTAGTTATTTTTCTCACATCTTAACTGAATGCCCATGATGTTCAGTTAATACTGAACCATTCTAGTGGTGTTAAAACTCTTACCTCTTTCCATATTTTACAACCTCTGAAATTCTCTGTTAAAAATCTCAGACCCCAAGAAGTGTTTTATTGTAGACATCCCTGTTCATGAACAGTTTATTATTCAAACACACACATTTTTTTTTTTTTTTTTTTTTTTTTGCCAGCTGGCTGATGTGGAGATGCTAACCCTTAACCTTGGTGTTACAAGGCTGCACTCTAACCTACTGAGCTAACCAGCCAGCCCAGTATAAATTTTCGCAGAACTTTTACAAAGATACCTTGGTTGGGCTCTTCTACTTGAATCTTTCCTCTTTGTACCCTGTCCAGCAAATTGATGCCACAGTAGCAGCCCTGAACTCTGATCTCTGTTTTCTTTGCCAAGCAAGATTTCCAGTCTGTGCTCATTCTTCCTAAAGAAGAATGCTAGGGTAAATGTGTACCTCGTCATATTTCTCCCCTTATGCTGTTTAATTTTTAAAAACAATGGATTCACATATTTTGTTCAGGTCTATAGTGGTTTGCTTTGAGAGTTCAAGTTCACCCAATGTATCATAGCCCAAAGTGGAAATCATTACAGTGTAAATATGTGGCATACAAGTAGTATAATGTGTACTTTTTGTTTATCATAAAACCAGATACTAATCTATTAATCATAAAGCCAATATCTGAGTGGATTTAGAGATATAAGTTGATTTATCTGAAATAAGTAAGAAAAATTCCTCTTTAAGGCAGAAGTGCAACATACCATTCTTGAAGAAGTTTTGGAATTGTATTTTACCATTATAGAAACATCAGTAATTTTGCACTATAATTTATATTTTAGCAATTGTTAACAATACTCTACAGCTCTCCTCATTAGAAACTGTACATGAAATTAGAAATTTTAAATATTTTTTAAAGAAATATTAGGATTGTTCATAAGGGCTGGACAGTTTGAATCATGTTCAAATCATGGTTGTATGTATATGTCAATCTCATTAAATTTCATACCTTAAGCATGCAATTTTTATTAATTTCAATTATACCTCAATAAAGTTGTTTTTTTAATAAAAGATAATACAAGCAATACCCCCCCCCCCCCAAAAAAAAAAGAACCTTATTCTTGACTTTAAAGGAAAATTGATTAGGAATGAATTTGCTTTGATTTTTTAACTAACCATGGTTTGTAGGACTTAGGTTCATGAATCTTACACATTGTGTCTTGTTGACAATTTTTAAGGTACAAAGCTATGAATTTTTAACATGAGCAGATTTACGATGTAGAAAAATCACCCTCTTTAGTATGGAGAACTGTTTGAAATAGAACAAGAGTGGAGGCAGCTTCATTAGGAGACTGCTGCAGTGGTTCAGGCAAGACATGATGGAGAAAAGGGCAGATGGTAGCCATAGAGATGAAGACAGATGGGTGGAGAAGATATTTCAGAGAAGGAAAGTCTTCTTTGATGATTATTTTTGATGTTGGGCTTAAAAGCAAAATGGGAGTAAAATATGAAACTCAACTATCTACTTTTGGCTACCATAAAAAAACATCATTTGAATAGTTGAATAATTCAAAGATAGAATGGGATGTCAAAGAAATAGGTGAGGCCAGGGCGTGATGGGAATCGTGAAGTATCTGACGACATAGGGCAACGTAACAAGGGATAGGCTAGTTAAGGCTCTAGTTTCATTTAAAATCTACTTTTTCAGTAGTTCTGAAATATGCAATGAATTGTTATTTATTATAGTCACCGTTCTGAGCTAAAGCTTATTCCTCCTAACTGAAATTTTGTACCCTTTGATCAGCATCTCCCCTTTCTTCATACACCTCTTTCAAATGTTTTTAACCCAAAAACATGATAAGTGATAGGTGATGACTTGTTAATTATCCTGATTTAATCATTCCACTATGTAAACATATGAAAACCTCACTTTGTACCCTGTAATTATATAATATATACAATTATTATTCATCAGTAAAAATGTTAAAGAAAAAAAGACTTGTTTCAGAATAGTGTTAGGATTTCAAAAACTTTAAGATTTTTCCCATTCAAAATTTCCATGATTACGTGGCTCTTTCATTTTAAATACACATTGATCAGTATTTAACCTTAAGAAGTTATTTTTACAGATGGGTACTTATCAAAAGAAAAAAGATAATTAATGAAAAAAATTCTTATTTTTTTAAGACATGATTTATATGGCCAGAGGAAAGCCTATGTATTTTACATCATTTGAAATTCAAAATGTCCATGAAATATGTTATTTTCTCAAAATGATAATATTGTGCTTGAAAAAGTAGTCTCCCAAAGTCATATAGAAAATAATCTGTGAGATTATAATTCTCTCTCTCTCCTGCTGGTCTCTCTGACTACAGAGACTGTGCTTCTACAATGTTTTACTGAAAAGGGATAACATTAGTTTAACATTAAGTTATCCATTCTAAACTTATTATTATAATAAGTTCAGAAATTCCTCCTCATATTATATCTTTGAGTTTGGTGATTTTAAATGTAATCAAGATTAATTAATGTTTTACACTCAATATCTAGGTTAATAGATTTTTTTTTCTTTTTAATATACTCAAAGCTTACATCTTGGTAATGTTCTATTCATAAATATCTTTGAAACACTGTGTTTTGAAGGATATATATTCATCTTCATTTTATTTTAAATCTAACCCCTTATGGTGTCTAAATACAATTGTTTAAAATTTTTGATTATAACAGAAACTGAAATGTCATTGTTGCCCCCAAGGAAAATTAAGATAGCTATTAAAATCATCATTGCAGTGATATTATATGGAGACCATTGATATGTGCCAAAATTATTTTTTCTGTAATAATAATAATGCATATGTTTATAGAACTCTTCTTTTCTACCTCTCTGAAGCTTCACACTGACCAAGATAAAGGAGATGGAAATTTAAAATACATTTTAACAGGAGATGGGGCTGGCAGTCTGTTTGTTATAGATGAAAATACAGGAGACATTCATGCTGCAAAGAAATTAGACAGAGAAGAAAAATCCCTGTACATCCTTCGTGCCAAAGCGATAGACAGGAAGACTGGGCGGCAAGTGGAACCAGAATCCGAATTTATCATTAAAATCCATGATATCAATGACAATGAACCGAAATTCACAAAAGACTTATACACTGCCAGTGTTCCTGAAATGTCTGGAGTTGGTAGGTATTTACTAATGCACGTAACCTAACTTTTTTATTTGTTTGCTTGCTAAGGTAATTATTATGGACATGTAGTTATATAAGGTCTTTTACAAGAGAAGAGCTATAACTGGAAACTACTATTTAGTGTAAATTAGCTGATTTCTAATTAGTTTCAGTTCTATGTATCTTAAGGTCTTCTGGTTATGTTGTAACATATCTAAGATGATTACTGATAACAATTATTCTATTGCATCTCGATCAACAACTTCACCTCTACTGAACTTTGAGTCATTCAAATGGCAGTCAAGTGGAATATATTTTTGCCTGAAATGAAAGGAATAACAAATAGTGTCAGCAGTCGTGGACAATTTTGCTTGCATTATTGTGAATATTAACAACGAATGCTTGCATTGGACAAAAGTCTTCTGAAGTATTATCTCCTTTGTTCATTAAAACAACCTTCTGTGGTAGGCATGGGAAATAGAACTTTAAACCCTCATTCTGTTAATTTGAAACCCAGGATTTAGAAAGATTAAGCAACTGAATTAAGATCAAATAATCTAGTAGGATCATAACAAGATTCTGAGTGTTCTTGATATTTTTGTGCAAGTTCCACTACTGAGCATTGGTTTATCATGCAAAGTGAGAATAATTGTTCCACTTTATAAAGCTGCACACAATTTTAAGCACCACTTGTTCTTATGCAAAGTTTTTTTTTTTATCTGAAATTGTGACTACATTTAACTCTATTAATATAAAAGGTTTGGATTGGCTAATAAGATAAAAGGGCTGACGATCATTAAATATTTCTTAAGAAATAGTGATATAAACTTACTATATTATCTAAAATACGCAACTAATTTTACAAATTGGATACAATTTAGTTTAATGTGAAGGTACCTGAAAAAGTTAATAGATGCAGAGATAGCTGGACTATTTTAATGCCTTTTTATTTCCCTCCACTGGTAAATAACTATGCTTGTTACATAAAATATTGACTGGAAATGTTCTAATTTATTAGATTCTGAGTAAATCCCCCCAAAATAGCATTTTTCTTGTTCATTATTTGAAATCAAATGTCCTTTTCAGACAAATTAAACCCAAATAGAAGAACAAGAAGAAAAAAAACTGCAGCTTACAATATGATTTTAGATTAATATATATATATATATAATGTCTAAATGAAAAGTACATGTATTTTACATCCTGAAATGTGTTGCTCTTTTGCTGAAACTCTCCTACCTTGTTTAAAGAAAAATAAAAGGTTAATTATGATTATTTCAGGTATGATTTTCTTAGCATTTACCCATACAAATAAGCCTTTTTACAGAGGAAAACTAAAAGATGGTATTTAGAAACTTTGTCAGGTCATGTGCAACCCATATGTTAACAGTTACAGCTCATGCATAATCACACAATAAAGAATACATCTATAAGTAAAGTAATATACAATGATGTAATTCCAATATTAGTTTTATTATAGTATTAATTTTGATTTTAATCAAAGGGTTGAAAATTACAAGTATTAGCTTTGGAAGAAAATAAAGTCTAATGGGATAAAATAAAATTTACTTATTATTATTTTACTCTTCTCTACAATGTTATCCTCTGATGATCTCCTCTAATCTGCCCTTTCTTTCTGTTTATTTTTATTTCTTAGAGTATTTGTTTCTTCTTTTTCTCTCTCACCAACTCCTCTCCTTGTTTTTTTTCCTCTGCCTCTGTTTCTTTCTGTCAAAACTGTATATCATATTCAGTTTTGTCTCTCAGAATCACTCTCTCATCCCCTTTTTAGTTAAATTTGAATCACCCCAATAAACTTATGAAATGTGAAATTCATTAGCATCTTCAGACCACAGCATATACTCTGGATGATATATGAAGATATGTAATTAAGGAAAACGAGACACACTTTGATTAAAATGTTAGTAGCAGGTCCTCAGTTTTTATATTTTCAATTTTTTTGTGTGGTCACTATACTACTATTGGTTAAAGATTTGTATCAACTTTCTGTATTTGCATGCATTCATCTTTTTCAAGGCAAATTCCTGTTGTGTACATTTCATGGTTTTGGATGCACGCTTTCTCAATGACTGGATATTTACCCTATTGTGCTCTCAAAAACATTCTATCCTCCTCCTCACACTCTGATCCCCAAACAGGAATCCCTCTGTAGTTTTTCACATGTCACCCAAATAACTCAGTCAATGAATCCTTCAAGTTCTAATCAGGATTTATTCTTAGAAGTTCACTGCCAGTTCTTCATGACTTGCTATTATGAAAATAGCTTTTGTGCCTTTACATTTTTTCTGAAACAGTATTAGTTGTATATTTAAGAGATGAGTTAAAGATTATAATAAACTTTTTTGATTCCTTAATATATTTTCTGTTCAAAGTGAAGTATATTGTATGCAAAACTCATAAAGATATAAATTCCAAAAATAATTATGTCAAAATTATGCTCAGACCTTTGACATGAAATATATTACACAAATTTGTCATTCAAGCTTCACTATATTTTTCCTAATATATATTTATCTTTGTTTAATATGAAAGTAAATTATTTATTTTAAATAATTAGAAAAAATTAAAATTATACATATTTTGGAAAATTTGGAAGGATGTAAAAATCAAAGTGGTATTCTCTCTTTTAATATGCCTTCATAAATAAACATTTAGAAAATTTGCATAAAACATATAAGTCATTTTTTTGTCTAATTAATAAATAGTACAAACTGCATAATGTCATTACATTTCTGGAAAAAAATTATTAATTTTTTATAGTTCAACATAATAGGACTTTCTTTTTCTCTTTAACATATCAATGACATATTACCAGTGTTTACTCGTTTTTAATAGCATACCTAAATACTACCATTTTCTGAGAAGTGAAACAAGTAAGTACTTTACATGGGAATTTTTAGCCATATCATTGGGGGAGGGGTATCACCGTATCACCTTTCCTTTGGCCTAGTGAGGACATGGGTATATACAATTTTTAAATGATAAAATTTTACAGCTACTGAGTTAGTATATAGTGTTTTCTTTCACTCACAGGACATATCCATTCCATTACAATTGAGGAAACAAAGGCCTAAAAAGTAAGAGTTCAAGTTCTCACCTTATGCCAACTAATTTTGAGAAAATATGAAAAAGACTTACTAAATTAACATATTAATATTCAAATACATTGATGGGAAATGAACTTAGTACTAATCTTAATGTACAATATATTACTTTTTGACGTTTTTATAACATATACATGCAAAATTTGAGAAACACTTGTTACAACTCAATTAGACAAGTTCATGGTGTGTACTATATGTGGGGCATTAAAATAGGTGACAAGGCCAATATGGAATCCACCTTGTGCTCAAGAATTTTAAAATCTATGTAAGACCCAAAATCAAAATTTTGAAAAATTATGTATAATAAATTGGAAAATGTCCTATAATTTTTTTTTGTGCAAGGGAATACATGGTAGGCTTCAATTAAGGGTGACTTTAGAACTGTACCTTGAATCTTTACAGTGATCCAGTAAAAAAAAAAACAAAAAACAAAATTCTATGAATACATGCCATTATGCTTATCTCCTGATACTAGCTCCAAGCATGATTGTCTTTTAAAAGACAATGATTTGTAACAAAGTTAAAAAATAATTTAAATTTTATAACATAAAATTTAAAAAGCTGTAATATTCAATTGCAGTATTGCATGTGGCACAGAATTAGACATGTTCTTATCTATTGGTTTACAAATTCCAGTAAATGAGCAATACTATGGAGCAAGTCAACACGCATAATCATATCCGACCATGTTACCTATATTTTAAAGGGAGGGACAGACACGTTATAATTAGATATATCTTGTACACACAAAAAACAAAAACTTTGCAAGTCAATATATCATGTAATGTTTGTTTATTAAAAACAGAGCCTTTTTATTTTTCATTCTATTTGCAAAACACAGTCAATTTACCAAAGTAAAAAGTAGCAGAAGGATTATGTTAGCTTTATCTTTAAATACACATTTTCATTTAGCAATAAATATATTAATTGAAAATCTTATACGCATCATATTCAGTGAAAAATTTTCGTCTCTCATAATAATTCCAGTCAATTAAAAATGCAATATATTAGTCTCATTAAATCCATTTTTGTGATAAAACGTATTTTGATTTTTGTTACTTTTTATTAATAACTCAAACAATAAAATTAATGGCCACATAAATTTAAAAACACAAGAATGGAGGAAAAAGTAATTTTCTTTGAGGCAGCATCATTTAAATAAATTTCTGTAAACATATACCATGGTCTAACACACCCTAATAAGAGCAATAATTTTTCAGAAGGATTTTTTTCCAATTTGGACGTATCTAAGTGTCTTTGTTTGGGGGGTGCTTTATGTAGGTACATCTGTTATACAAGTGACTGCAACAGATGCAGATGATGCCAACTACGGAAATAGTGCCAAAGTGGTCTATAGCATATTGCAAGGACAGCCATATTTTTCAGTGGACCCAGAATCAGGTAACAGCATTTAACACGTGGTCTGTTTCTCATTATATACAATACATCTGTAAACACAATCAGTTTAGAGGCTTTTCTATATTTTGAAACCTATCCATTTAATATCATATTTCTATTTTTCTATACAGTTGCTCCATGGAAACAAAAGCAAACTTTCTATTATTTAAAAAAGTTATTTGGATTCTTAGCTCTTTAAACTATTATTTATTAGGTTTAAATTAAGACACTACATTAAAACATTCACAGAGATTTAGCTCATTATGTGGCATAGGAAATACTCAAACCTAAAGAATGTGACAATTAACAAAATTAAGCAAGTTTATTTGTCTAAAGACTTCTGACTGAAGTTAATTTTTTTAATCAAAAGAATAATGAAATTGATTTAGGAAAACCCATTCTGTGAACAATAGCCCATGGCAGAATTCTTTCTGTTCTGTGAATTATGTTAAATTGGTTATGGATTGAAAGGCATATTTAAGTACACTGACATTTTATCCATTTGTTATAATTAACTTCTGCAAAATGGATCTTGCACAGCTTAATTTTAAAACTTGATGATTTAATTGCAAAACCTTTGTCTACTTTTCCAAAAGGCATAATAAAAACTGCATTACCAGACATGAGCAGAGAAAATAGAGAGCAGTACCAGGTGGTTATACAGGCCAAAGACATGGGCGGCCAGATGGGAGGCCTTTCTGGAACCACCACAGTGAACATCACTCTGACAGATGTCAACAACAACCCTCCTCGGTTTCCCCAGAGTAAGTGATCTCATGTAGAAAAGCTTCTCCAACATACTATAAAACACTGATATTAGTAATTTCACTATTAGTTTATGAATGAAGTTAAATCCACAACCTCGCCCTCTACAAAAAAAGAAAAAATTAGCAGTTTTTCGCAAATTGAAAGTGATGATTATTTTCACCATTTTTTGAGAAGATAGTGGGAGAGAACAAGAGCATAAGTTTCTTTGGCAAATTTAATGATCCTTTACTATGTTTTAAAGAGTTACAAAGTATTCCAGACTACCTTTCCTAACACTCACTAAGGTCATCTTATTCTTTTCCTTCTAATCTCTTTCCCGGTTAGGAGTGTGGCCTCTCAGTTCTGGCTGCCTGGATTCAAATCCTGTGTCTGTCGCTTGTCTTGCCTCAGCTACCTTGTTTGTACATTAGAATTGTGACTTCTTATTTAATTAATTCTAAAACACAGACTTGGTGTTTTAACATCTCTGAAATCAGATACTATATTAAAATCAATGCCAGCTGGTTTAATCAGGGCATTTTCATATTGTCTTAGTGGTCTATAGAGTTATGGTATATCTTGGTTATGATAGCATCTTAGACATATTAAAGTTTTGTAGTATCTATGTTATTCAGTTCCAAAGATTAAATCAGTTAATACCTTTTATTCTTAGTGGTCTATAGAGTTATGGTATATCTTGGTTGTGATAGCATCTTAGACACATTAAAGTTTTGTAGTATCTATGTTATTCAGTTCCAAAGATTAAATCAGTTAATACCTTTTAGGGTTTTCATCATTTTAGGATATACTTTAAACCATGGATGGTTTTCATTTCGTGAGGTCCTACAAAAACAGATTCCACTTGTCTGCCGAAAATATTTGAATAAAAGTATAAAGCATCTTATTTTGAAATTTTCAGTTAAGGGCTTAAGTTTAAATTGATGTAATTGATTTCAATACAGTAAAACATTTTTCCAGCTGAACCAGATTTAAAAATTTGATGACTCACCTTTGATTGGTGGACCTATCCATATGATAAATATAAAATAAAGTTTTCTGAGAATATGAATAATAAGTCCGGATAACATAAACCTAAACTTTGCATGCAGATGCCTTAAATAAAAACAGTGAGAATATGATTTAATGAGTTCTCAGGTGGCTTGCCACTCTGTAATTATATGAAATATTATAACCTTTGTAACTATAACAGCAATAGTAAAATTCTGAGGACCATTCCCTGGGCTGAATGTTTTACAGACATAATCTCATGTTATCTATGTAACAAACCTACGAGTTAATTGCAGTTATTATCATTCTTATTTTATAGATGAAGACATCACAGTTTAGAGAATTTAACTAATTTGCCAGTGGTGAGAATTCAAACCCAGGCGGTTGGCTTTATAAGCTCAAATTCCTAACCACCAGACAAACTGGAAAGAGACTATACTCTGCAGTCAGAGAGACCTGACTTTGCGTTCTCCTTTCTCCAAGTCTCCAGGATGTTTCCTCCAGCCCTGACCCTGAAGATAATATACCTGCATTGGGACTTGGAGGACTAGTGTGAGGATTAAATAAATTAGCAAGAGGGCCTTCAACCTTCTATGGAATTTATCATATAGTAAATGCTTGTCTTAAAATATTTCTGACTTTCATTAACTTTTTTTTGGTATTTTTTCCCCTATTGTTCCTTGAATGGATAGTTACAAACTAAAATGCTTTCAGGGACAGCAGAATGTAATTTAAAATATTTCTGACTTTCATTAACTTTTTTTTGGTATTTTTTTCCCTATTGTTCCTTGAATGGATAGTTACAAACTAAAATGCTTTCAGGGACAGCAGAATGTAATATAATGACTGACTGAACACACAGACAAAATTCATGTCCCATTTAGAAGCATTAAAATCAAAATAAACAGCAAAAAAAGAGACATTAAAGTGTATGGAGGTTGGTTTGTTTGTTTGTTTTTTAATTTCTGATTTAGAATTAAAGAATAAGTGCATGTTCCTTTAAATAATTGAACATCTTTAAAAATGTGTGATGACAATTTTGAAAGCCCCGGAGAAGCAGTAAATAATTGGCTTTCATGGCCTTTTAAGTCAGAAGTTCAGGATTCTGCTATCAGACCTACCATCTATTATCTAAATAACCTTGGGACATTCACTTAATCTTTCTGTGACTTATATTTCTCATTTACAAAAATGAGAAATGTTCTACCTTTATGAATTATTTTTCCAACTTAATAAATCTATAATTTTTGACAGCTTACAATTCAATATGATGAAAATCTCTTCCAATTTAAGGTTAATTTATTTAAGTAAGAAAGGCAGAGGAAATGAAAGAGTTTTGTTATCTAAAGATGAAATGGCAAAGCAGCTCTGATTTAATTTACAGGTACGTATCAATTTAATTCCCCCGAGTCTGTACCTCTTGGAACCCATCTTGGAAGGATAAAAGCCAATGACCCTGATGTGGGTGAAAATGCTGAGATGGAATATAGCATTGCTGAAGGAGATGGAACGGACATGTTTGATGTCATCACTGACAAGGAGACACAGGAAGGGATTATAACTGTCAAACAGGTTTCTTTTTGCTGTCTTCATTTTTTCATTGAGTGCTCTCTAGTCTATCTTTGCTTTTTAGTAAAGGGAAGAAAAGACAGGGATTTATTTTTTCCCACCTTTTACATGCTGTCTCTTCTTCATATAACTGGGAATAGTTGTGGTTTCACTTTCTATAAAGTTAAGCATCTTCATCATTGACACATAAATATGTGATATAAAACATCAACTGTTTGTGCTTATGGTAGACAGCAATTGAACTAGGATTACATAAACTCAAAGGTACTTCTCCATGTTTTGTATTTTTTGTATTTCTCCGTGGGAGAAACAATAGGCATGCAGCATCACTGTTATGCCATGCATTCTTCATAATATTTTAATTGTGGGTGTGTCAGTTTAAATAAATGAAATCTGAAGATGCTCTGTGTGCTATGTTGGTTTTCTTGATTTTTAATGCAATGTGGAAGAATAGTCTAAAATTTTACATAGAATAATCCAGCTCAACACCCATTATTTTACATTGTCCTCCTTTAAATATTTTTGTTCATATCCTGCTTTCCACAAATGCTCAAACTAATAAAATATAATTTTTAATTATAAACCTCTACTTTATTTTATCTTTCCTCTGATTTTTACTGTATGTAACTTTAATGATAATGATAATATATTCACTCTATATATCCATTAGATAATACTTCATTTACCTGCAGCCCCCAAAATTATAGTACATTACTAAGTGGAAATTAACCTTAATGTATATACCATTATATTTAGTTAACCTCCTATAAACAAGTGTAAAGCACAACATGTATTGATTAATTTACTTGATATACCTATGAAGCAATAATTGGGAAAGTTATTTGACCAGAATTGTCCATACCATTAAGAGAACTGGTTATTATATTTTGAAACTGTCTTTCAAGTTATGCTAATGCATTTTAAATTATGCTAATTTTTCATATTTTATTTATCTTCAGAATTTAGATTTTGAAAACAAAATGCTGTACACTTTAAGAGTAGATGCAACTAACACTCATCCTGATCCACGATTCTTACACCTGGGACCTTTCAAAGACACAGCTGTGGTCAAAATATCTGTGGAAGACATAGATGAGCCTCCTGTGTTCAGTAAAATCTCTTACTTGATAGAAGTAGATGAAGACGTAAAGGAGGGCAGCATCATTGGACAGGTTACAGCCTATGACCCAGACTCCATGAACAATTTAATAAAGTAAGTAGTTTGAGAAAATTTATATTTGTAGAAATATAACAATCTTTTCACTATTTACAAGCTGTGTGGAAAAACAGAAATGTTGCACAATGTACATCAAGCACAGTAATAATATCAAACACTTTCAGAATACAAATTCTGCTGCTCTGTCTTACACATGCTCTGAGTAGATTATTTCATTTGAGTCTTGTCACACTAAAAGGTAGATACTAATACGATATCTTTCTGGAAATGATAAGACTAGGCACTGAGCATTTCAATAATTTGCCCAAAATCGGTGGCAAAGCTGGGTTTAAGAACCAGGAAGTCTAGCTCCAGAGTCAGTGATTTTAATCCTTTTATTGTTGGTATGATTCTTGTCTCATTGTATATTTTGGTTAAATCAAAGTTCAAATTAAAAGGAAACATAAAAAAAATAAATTGGAAATATATTTTGTGTTTCTAGAAATGTCAAAATATCTTATTCTTATAATAGTCAATGTCTCTCATATATCAAAATTTTGGAGAAACAGTAGGTCAATTATATTATCATAATAATGCAGAGTGTTGCTAAAGAGATACTGATATTTTAATCAATAAGGCAGGTAAAAGTATTAACAATTACTATAGCATAGTATAATACTTTTTCAAAATTTGGGTATTGTATTCACCATTTAAAAGCTTCCAAATATGCCAGAAACTTAAATGATTCTTATAAATTGTTCATGAGGTGAACGTAAATATAATTGTGGCATAAATATATAAATGGATGACGATGGTTGGATATATGGAGGAAAATACACAGGGCTGAAAAGATATATTAACAAAGCATTATCTGTTAAAGCAATAGCTGGGAAAATGCTTAAAATTCCACTTTGCTTGAAATTTCATTTTTTATTAATGGAAATTAATAGGATAAATTTATTTCATATCATCCTTAACACATAGTAAATTAATTAGCACAATACTAAATATATAACTATTTAAGTTTTATTTTAGGACTATCCAAATGTGTTAATTCACAAAGCAATGTGTGTTGCACTAATATATTATGATGAAGATTTAATTTGTTCATGGGATTAATGTATTATTGAACATGTTAACCTTTGTAATAAAATACAGTCAATAAAATTTTAATCTGTAGTTAATACCCAGAGTTTACATTAGCTTTAGAATTTTGGTTTTAGATTAATTAGAATGTAATTCACTAAACATCTTTTTTCAAAAATAAATGGTATCCAAATATGAATTATGTATATTGTTCAATATTTTTAAAACAGTTTTTTTAAATGTTTTGTTTTGTTTGAACCTCCTAATTCCTATAGAAGGTTATATTATTGTGACAGAATTTTTATCAATATATAGAAAACATTTAGTTTAAAATGTCCATGTTGTTTAAAGCAAACTTGTTTGAACCTCCTAATTTCTATAGAAGGTTATATTATTGTGCCAGAATTTTTATCAATATATAGAAAACATTTAGTTTAAAATGTCCATGTTGTTTAAAGCAAACCTCTTGAAATAAAATGAAGTAATCTAGTTTTACAATGATCAACGTATATGTACTAGCATCTTCATTTTTAAAACAATGTGGACTTTTATTTAATTAAAATGGTATGAGGCTGATTTGTTTTGGCATTCCTTCTAGCAGGATTTATTAAAAACAAAAAATGAAATTTTAACCAAGTTTGTGTTCTTTGCAATATTGAGATGGAAATAAATACCCACCTATTTTTTAAAAAGATAGGGGTTGCTTATACTAGCAACTACAAACGCTCAATTAGTGTCTGTTCTTGATAGTTTTTGCCAGATCACGAAAAAGTCATTAATTTTGGTTGTACCTTAATTTCTCCTTAGCATTTGCTGTACAAAATATCTATGGTAGAAATCCAAAATTTATTTTAAAAAGTAATTGATTATAACTGTTTTCAATGGCAATCACCCACTTTTAGAAAGTCGTAGACAATAGCAGTATACCAACTCTTTCAGATGATAAATTATGTTATTGCTGGACCATTGAGCATTTCTGAGTCTGAATGAGAACATATCTTAATAAGAATCCGTGTATCCTATTCTCATTCATCTAGCAAATTTGCATATTAAGAATCCATCTGGTTACTTTGTTAGAGGAACGCTGACTCTTCCATGTTGCCAAGGTATTTGTTCATTTATTCAATCAGGAGTCTCATTAAGCTTCATCAGTTTTTTCTCACTTTTACCTTATCTGTGATAAGCAACAAAATATAAGTTCTGTTAGTTAAACTATGAAGTCAAATGTATTACATTTAGACTCTTAAACATTTTGTCTATTCTTTCTTCCATAAAATAGGTTAGTATTTATTGAGCTCTTGTTCTGAACTAGTAACTGTTTAAAGAACTTTATATTTGCTCATTTAAGCCTCACCACAATTTATAAGGCAGGTACAATTATCATCACCCAATTTCATGGAAGAATAAACTGAGATGCAAAGAGTTTAAGTAACTTTCCCAAGGACACAGCACAAATAATTTGCAGGCTGGAGATTGAAGCTGTTTCTATCTGAATGCAAATATTGTTTGTTAGCAAATATACTTTGCTTTGTGACTGATTACTAGGTAGAAATTCTTAACACAATGTTCCTCATTTGTAGACTAAGTCAGCTGATCTCAGTGGTACTAAGCAGAGCCCTCAAGGGCAAAATTATGGGAGAGGTAAAACATGACTGTTGTACCTTAGAATGTGGTCTACTTATTTTTTTCATGACTCCAAAATAGAATTTCACGTTGTCTTCAGAATCTATGATTTTATTTCTATTATTCTTATTTAACAACTTTGTTGAGGTACAAATGACCTGCAGTAAACTATATAAATTGAAAGTGTATAAGTTGATAAACTATGGCATATTCATACCTCTGTGGAAGCATCGCCAAAATCATAATAATGCACATTCCCTTTCCACCCAAAATTTCCTCATGATTCTTTAATACCTTCTTCTCTACCCTTGCTGAACTCAACCCAATCCTGAGGGAAATGTTGACCTGCTTTCTGTCAATACTGATTAGTTTAGATTGAATTTTCTAAGATTCTATATAAACAAATTCTACATACTCATTTATATCCTTTTTTTCTGGCTTATTTCACTTAACATAATTATCTTGACTTTTTTTATACTGTTGTGTGCATGGATTGTTCATCCTTCTAATAGCTAAATAGTATTCCAAGTGTAGAAATACCACAGTTTTCTTATCTGTTCACTTATTGATTGACATTTTAGGTTGTTACCAATACTTGTATATTATAATACATTTGTACACATTCGTATGCAAAGATATATGTACACAGTTGTATACAGTGTTTGTATAGCTACATGCTTTCATTTCTTTTGGGTAAATGCTTAGAAGGGTAATGGCTGGCCATATGACAGAACCTGCCGTATTGTCCTAAGTGTTTGTACCATTTCACAGTCCCACCAGCATGTATGAGGCTTCCAGTTGCTCCCCATCCTCACCAATACTTGGTACAGTCAGTGTTTTTATTTTTAGCTATTCTTATTGGTATGCAATAGTATCTCATTTGGGTTTTAATTTTCATTTCCCTTATGACTAAAGATGATGAACATTTTTCATATGCTTGTGTGACACCCATATATGTTCTTTGATGAAGTGGCTATTCACATATGAATATTTGCCTGTATTTTGCTGGGTTATTTCTTTATTATTGAATTTGGATATATATAAAAGATACCATCTTTTATCAGATATATGTTTTACAAATATTTACTCCCAGTCACTGGCTTGTATTTCTGTTCCTTTAAAGTTACTTTCAAAAAGCAAAAGTTCTCAGTTTGCTGAAATGAAATTTATCAACTTTTTTCAAATACATTGAGCTTTTAGAGTCTACTCCAAGGTTACAAAGTTCTAATGCTGTGATTTCTTCTAGCAGTTTTATTTAGTAATGTATTTGTGTCTATGATCCATTTTGTTAATTTTTGTATAGTGTATAGTTCAAGGTTTTTTTTTTCTTTCATACCCACTGTTTCCAGCACTATTTATTTGTTGTAAAGACTATCTTTTCTCCACTGAATTATTTTTGGCACCTTTGCTGAAAATCAATTTTCAATATATGTATGGGTCTGTCTCCAAACAGTCTCTTATATTATGATTATCTATTTGTTTGTATTTATGAAAGTACCACATTTTTGTGTAGCTTTGTTACCAATCTTGAAGTCAAGTAGAGTTTGTCCTCTGATTCTTTTTTCTATTTTAAAGTTGTTGGTTTTTCTAGGCTCCTTTCATTTACATATGTCCATTTTTACAAAAGATTCTACTGGGATTTTAACTGGGATTTCATTGAGTTTGGAGAACAATGCAGACAGAGTTGATATCATAATGGTATTAAATTTATTAACTCACAAACAATATGTGTGTGTGTGTGTGTTTGTGTGTATTTGATTACTTTGGAAGGTTTTTTCCAGAAATATTTTATGGTGTTATGTGTACAGGTCAAGAATATCTTTTGTCAGATTTACTCTAAGTTTACATATATATAGATGATTCTGTACATGTATGTTCTTATTTTGATTTCTGTTTGTTTGTTGCTTGTATATGTAAATACAAGCAATTTTTATATATTGATCTTGTTTCCTGCAACATTGCTAAACTCACTGATTAGTTCCAACATATTCTTTTTATAGATTCCACCATGTTTTCTTTGCAATAATGTTCATGTCTTTTGATAATACAGACAGTATTTTTTATTCCTTCTAATATGGTTGCCTCATAATTCTTTTTTTGCATTATTTCATTAGCAAAAATCTCCAGAACAATGTTGAATAGAACTGATAAGAGCAGAAATCTTGCTCCTTGTTTAATGAGGAAATCATTTAGTCTTTCAACATTCACTATAATGAATTTGTAGGTTTTCTTTTTTTTTGGTTTTCATATCCTTTGTTAAAATTGAGGAAATTTATTCTGTTTCTGTGTTCTGACCATTTTTATCAGAAATAAAATTTGGAATTTTGTCATAGGGTATTTTCTGTGTCTATTGAGTTGCCTATATGGTTTGCTAAAATGATAAATTGCTTTGATTTTTTTAAATATTGAAGATGTCATGAATTTTGGGAATAAATGCCTCTTAGTCACATTTGCATCTATGTTTGTAAGAGATGTTCTTCTATAGTTTTGTTTTCCTGTATGTCTTTGTCTAGACTTGGTATCATGATAATACCACCTCACTGAATGCAGCAGGTTGTATAACATCCTCTTTACTTTTATGAAATAGTTTGCATAGAATAGTCATTTTCCTTAAATCTTTAGTGGGATTTAAAAGTAAATATATATAGGATTGAAATTTTCTTTTTCATAAGAGTTATAACAACAAATGCTATTTCTCTAGTAGATATAAGACTTTTCCTCTTACCTAATTCTTCTTTCATGAGCTGGTTTTTGTTCTTATTTTTTGTCATTATTCAGGAAATTTGTGAATTTTCACCTGAACTGCCAAATTAATTGGCCCCAAATCCTATTGGCTTTGACTTTTATAAGTCTATTTCCCCCACTGCTTGCGTACCTTGTATTTACCTCCTAAACTGTTACCATGATTATTTTTCCAAAACCACAAATCTAATTATTGTAATGTTCTAGTTAGGACACTCATATTTCCCCATGACCTAGAGGATAAAGTCTTAACTTTTAAGTGAGTTATTTAGGATTTTTTACAACCTGTAATAGGGGCCAAGGAAAAACTTCCTCTTCACTCCTGAAGGTTCATTAATAAAAATCACTGACAAATTTAGGTTAATAAGAAGAAAAGGCATAACAAGTTTTTTCATTTAATATGCTGGGAGGGGGCAATGCATGGGTGAATCACGAGAGAGTTATTTCCCAATTTTCCATTGGGGTACAGAGCTTATACACCTCTCTTAATAGAGAAAGGGGAGATGGGGCTGTTGGAGTAAATGATTCTCATTTGGAGTGTAATGGGCCTGGAGAACACACCATGGCCTGGGGCAAAGTCTATTTGGTCCACAGAGCAGACAATGACTGGTAAATGATTCTCTTCATCGTATAACTTCGTATAATGTATGCTATACGAAGTTATTACGAATGCTATTTCTCTAGTAGATATAAGACTTTTCCTCTTACCTAATTCTTCTTTCATGAGCTGGTTTTTGTTCTTATTTTTTGTCATTATTCAGGAAATTTGTGAATTTTCACCTGAACTGCCAAATTAATTGACATAAAGATTTTCAAAATGTTTTTTCATTATCTTTTTGACAGTCTTTAGTGATTATGGCTCTCTTTAATATTGTTAATTTTTATCTACTTTCTTTTTTTCCTAATCAATGTGACCAAACATTTTTTTTTACATTTATTGATTTTTCCAAAAAAACCTAACTTTTGGTTTCATTAATTTTTATTTTTATTTTCTATTTTACTATCTTTTACTCTGACTTTCATTATTTTTCTATTTTCCTGAGTTGCAAGCTGAGGTCATTAACTTAAAGCATTTTTTTTTTAATATGTACATTTCAGTGATATAAATTTCCCTCTAATTAGAGCTTTAAGTGTATTCCACAATAATCTGGTATTAATACAAGCACTTCATCTTTCTTTTAATTACTGTTTTTATTTAAAACATGACTTGTATATGAGACATATACTTGCACTTTGCTTTAAAACACAAAGATTATGTGCCTTTTAATTGAAATATTTAGACAATTTACATTTAATGTGATTACTGATACTGTTAAGTTTAATTACTATCTTGCTATTTGTTTTCTCATGTCCCATCTCTTCTTTGTTTCCTCTTTCTTATTTTCTGTCTTCTTTGGATGAATACAGTATATTTTATTCCATTTTATTTTATTTTTGGCTTATATGTTTTCACTTTTTTAATTTAATTTTTCTGGGCTCAATATAGAATTTTAGATTGTCTGTTTTCTATCAGTACACTGCAAATTTTGTCCTGTACTTAATCTTTATTTCTGCCTTTGTAACCTATCCCTTATTTCTCAGTATGCATTAAATATTAGCACTACTTTAAAGCAATTTGTTAATGATGTGTCTTGCTATAGTGTGCTTAATTCATGTGTGTATGTGTGTGTGCGTGTGTGCACTTGGAATTTTTTGAGCTTCTTAAATCTGTGAATTTATAGTTTTTCTCAAATGTGGAACATTTTTGGCCATTGTTTTTTCAGCACATTTTGCCCTACCCTCTTCTCCTCAGGAAGTGTATTACTGCATTAAGAACCTTGAAGGTGTAACAAAATTCACCAGTGCTCTGTTTACTTATTTATTTTCCATCTTTATTCTCTTTGTTATTTTGAATAGGTTACACTAATTTTCATTTCAAGTTTTCTATTTTTTCTGCAATATCTAATAGGCTTTAATTTAATCCAGAATATTATTTCATCTTACACTTCGTAGTTTATTCTTTAGAGGTTCTATTAAGATTATATATGCACACACACACATATATATATGAATGCTTTAAATGTGTCTCCCTAACAAGTTTTTTCTTTCCTCTGTGTTGTTAAACATATGAAATATAGTTAAAGTAACTTTTTAAATATAATTGTCAGCTAACTCTATCAACTGTGTCATTTCTGAGCAATTTAATCCAGAATATTATTTCATCTTACACTTCGTAGTTTATTCTTTAGAGGTTCTATTAAGATTATATATGCACACACACACACACATATATATATGAATGCTTTAAATGTGTCTCCCTAACAAGTTTTTTCTTTCCTCTGTGTTGTTAAACATATGAAATGTAGTTAAAGTAACTTTTTAAATATAATTGTCAGCTAACTCTATCAACTGTGTCATTTCTGAGTTGGTTTTAATTAATAGATATTTTTTCTTCACATTTTCCTGCTTCTTTGCGTAACTGTAATTTTTTATTGTATTGCAGGCATTATGATTTTTACCATGTTTAGTGCTGGATAGTGTTATGTTTTTATGAATATTCTTGAACTTTCTTCTGATGAGTTGTTAAATTTCTTGAAACAGCCTAATTCTTTTGGATCTTGCTTTTGTGCTTTATTTTGTGAAGAAATAATTTTGTCCCATTAACCAAGCAAAACCTTTCTGAGTAGTCTGTGAAAGGTTCTGTGAATTTTGAGCTTTTCCAACTTTTCTGGTGAGAACTAGAACTATTCTCAGTTTATAATATTCCACAATTATTTCATTTTATAGTTTTCCCCCGCTAGGCCCTGTGATTGGTTACTATCTCTGTTATTTCCAGTTATCTGCTCTTATTCATGTTCATGATAGGCAGTCAGCTGAAGAGGTGAGTGAGATTCTCTTTAGATTTCAGTAGTTCTCTGTGGGAAGCTCTTTTCTCTTCAGTACTTATCTCTGAAAATACTAACCACTTTGATCTCCCTGGACTCTCAGCATCATCTCCTCAACTTAAGGGAACTGGCAGATTTCATCTGGGTTCCCACTTTTTGTATTATGGAAATCTTCCCCAGACAGCACACTTAGGAAATTTTGGGGCTTACCTCATTTCTTCCCCTTCTCTCTGGGATTACTGTCTTGGTTTCTTAACAGCCAGTATTTTAAAAATCATTGTTTAATGCATTTTGTCTGTTTTTTTAGTACTTTGGGTGGTATGGTAAACCCAACTCCTGTTATTCCATCTTTGCCAAAAGAATAAGTTAGAGAAAAACATTTTTTAAAAATGTCCCTGCTTATATAATTGTAGTAATTCATTTTAGAAAACATAGTACAGGAACTTTTGCAGCAAAAAAGACTCTATAATTCTCTGCTACATAGATATTTCAGTGTCATTCTACTTCTTTTCTACCAGGTATTACATCTTTCAGGCAATTTGTCAATCTACTGTCTAATTTTTATATAGTTGAGTTCATTATATACATATAGGTCTATATATTTTCACTAATTGTATTTGCTGATGTCACTACACCTCAATATAGTTATGTTGTAAAAATAATACACTATCATGTAAATAATGCATCATTGATAAAAATTTAGATTGGAAATATTTATGTATGTATTTTTACATATCTATGAGGGTACTTAAAAAGTTTATGGAAAGATTCATATCATCTTTTAATTATATTTTTCTACAAATATTTTGAAGTGTCCTCAAATATAAAAATCCACAATACCTGATAATTTATTTCCTGAGCATATAACTTCAAGAATAAAATTTCGGGACCAAGGACTGATAGTAAAATTTTCAACTTTGCTTTGTATAGAATACTTAAATCTTGAATAAAAAATAAAAACAAACAATGAATTATAGTTTCACCTGTAACATCTCAAGAATTATGGTACGATAAGGAGAAAAAACTATTGAAAGAATAAATTAATCTCAAATTATGTTCTTCAAATTATACCACCAATTCTGCCAAGGTATAAGTCTATACCTGAAAACATAGCATGTAGGCTGATTCGTGGTAGCATATAAAATTATGCACACAAAAAAAGAACTTTAGATATTTATATGTTCAATTATATATTCAATTATACGTAGTGTAAATTTAAAAAAAACAGCAGTTACTCAACAAGAATTCAACATGGTAATATGGGACTCTTTTGTTTATTCCGATTGAATTTACAGGGTGGCTCATCCCTTAGGCTATGATAAGCTTCATGGAGAACCATTTTTCCAGGGAAAGCTTGGGAACTAATTCTTACCCATCAGTAAATCTGTTCATCAAATATATTTTCTGAAATACATCTGCCACTTGCAACTTGAGATTATGGTTACAATTAGCAGCTGTTGTCAGCTGTGCTTCACCTCATTAGTAATCATGGATCTCCCCAGTTGTAGGGTTGATTATAGCTTTACAAGTTCTGAAAGAACATGTTGCCTCATTTCACACCTATTTTATGCTTAGCATATTTAAAGTTCAATAATTTTTAGAAGAAATCCTTCCTACTGCTGTCAAATCAGAAAGTAATGAAACAAACTTGCTGGTGAGGGTTTTAATTATGTCTCAATAAAATGTTCATGATTCCAACATAAACTGGAATAAGTGCATAAGTGCATTGATATACAAGTATAGCTTGATTTTATTGCAACATTCGCTTGATTTTATTGCAAAGAGTAAAATAATAATAATCTTATGGTAATATCACTAATCTCTGCAAAAAATAATTTGAACATTTTTAAAAAATAAAATAATAATTTCACGTATAGCCAACATTTACTTTTTGAGGGGCAATGAAGATGTCATAGTTCACAGCTATGGAAAACACATTTCTGGGAAGCAGTAGCTGGAAAAATAGAGCAAATCCTTATCTTAACTATATTGACTTAGTTGATAGAAATAGTACCTGAATACAGTCAAGAATTAGGAATGTTGTCTTGGCATATTTCTGCATATTGTTAATTTGTTTTGATGTCTGTAATTTAATTTAGATGGCTTTTTTTGTAGTAGATAAAAATACAGGAATCTTATATGTGGTTGATTTTTAATTGTGGAACGAAAAAATAAAAAGCAAATAAAAAAGCAAAAACCAGAGTTCAGCTCCCATAGGCTCAGTTCTCTTGTGCTTCTTTTCACTTGTTATTTGCTGCCTATATGATTGGATCCTATCTCTGCATAAGGTATTCACACAAAAAAATATGCTGGTGGTCTTTTTTAACTTACTGTTCAAAATTCAGTGTGGGGAGATCAATAAAATATTGTTGTTATAACATGCCATCTAGTGCATAGAGATAGCTTTGTTCTGTGTTAAGTGTTTATAAGGCTCTTTCCAGTCATTTGTTGTAATCCACCATATTTATTATTGATAGCTAAATCAGAACGTTCCTATTCTGTGTTGACAATAGAACTTTGGCTGCTAAATAAAAGAAAATTATCTATGGGCTTTGACAAATTACAAGATATAATTGCACTGGGGAAAAGCCTGGAGGACTGCAATGCTAATGTTAAAGTGGGCTATTTCTAAATTGTCAAAATGGTTCTCCGTTGTAAATTCTTAACTTGAAAAACAGTGCCCTTCAAGGTTAAACCTAAGAGTAGGGCAGCCAGAAACTCAGATATATTTTGATCCCATGTAAGCTAAAAGTGAGTCAAAGCTTGACTTTATAGTGTTAGACTTGTTAAGTATTCCTTAATCATAATCTCTAGGGCAAGTAGCAATAGGCTCAAAAGGGAATTTTATTTTCCTCTTTGATCTTCAATGAAAACAGCAGGAAGAAATCTACAATCTATTCTAACATAAGCAGAAAATGGTTAACTATTGACCTTTCCAACAATGGAGAGAAATATTTGCAGCTAACTATTTTGAATTGAGTTCCATTCAATGCATAGATGTGGTTATATTCTTTTGTTTTCTTTGATTCATTTACAGTTGTTTTTATTCATAAGCAAAGTTTGGTGAATTTAAAGAAAGTAAAACTTATAAAAATGTTGCAATGACTTTATCTCTCAAACATCTTATAATAGAGATTTGGTCTCAAATGTAAACAAAACCCACAGTGGAAACTAAATTATAGGAGGGTTGACACCTATAGAAATGAAACACAATATATATATATATTTTTTTCATTTTAGCATAATTAATGATCAAAATTAAAAAGATATATTTAATATGACTGCCATCCTCAATTTTGGTGTATTAATAGTTATTTTGAAAATCAGATCTGTCTCTGATGATTATTGGACAGTGAATTGTTGTATCAAACCCAATATAACTTTTGATTCTATGAAATATATATACACCATTATGCATTTTATATGTTTATTTTTATATCTAGGTTCCTAATTATCTTTTATCTTCTTAGAATTTTCCACACCAAAAGTATAACTATTCTCAGACAGTGATCATATGTCAAATAGGCTTTTTTAAAATCTGTCAAATTCTTTTTATAAAACCAGATAGGAAAATTACGATAATGATTATTGAAAAACGGTTCCTAATTATCTTTTATCTTCTTAGAATTTTCCACACCAAAAGTATAACTATTCTCAGACAGTGATCATATGTCAAATAAGCTTTTTTTAAATCTGTCAAATTCTTTTTATAAAACCAGATAGGAAAATTACGATAATGATTATTGAAAAAAATGAGGGAATACTACCATTTCCATGTAGCTATTCTGCACATTTCACAACCCTACTAAATAAAAATACAGAGGTGACTAAGCTGGTTACATGTAATAACTAAAAAATCTGCTCTGACCAGGTCAGCAAAATTGCAGTAACTTGGAAAATCTGGGATGAGTCAGTAGTCATGTCCCATGTCCTGAAAACATTATCATAAGACCATTTTTACTTAGAAGCAGACTTACTGGCACCAGGAGTAACAAATTAACCTAGGATGCTTTTTGTAACCCTTATGCTAGATCCCTGCATGTAGGATGTAACCTGGTAAAAAATCCCAAGTCTATATGTCATGTACAGCCAATAGAAAAACTGATGTGATGATTAGAATGATGTCCTCTCTGCCTTTTGATTCTTCCCCTTTGTGTGATTATAAAATGGTGAATTCTACTTGCGTCCTTTGAAGCAAATTCCAAGGTTACTTGGCTATATGTCTTCCAGGAGTGAAGCTTCTTATATACACACAGATAAACTCCTTGCCATGTGTATTTGGCCTCAGTTTCATTTTTAGGTCAAGACATGTATTAGGAGTGAGGTACAGAAAGGAATCTGAGGACAACTTTCTAAAGGTTTTGTAGATATTTCACCTTTAAGATGAAACCCAATATACTTATTTCACAGTTCCAAATACTCTCTTTGAAGCAGTTTCTGTGATATGAAATAATCATTTTACAAAGTTTACCAGAAAGTAAATTAGTCAAGCACCTTCATGTAGTATATTAAATTGTTAAAATTATTTTTAAGATTTACTTAAGGGTCCTTTAATTTCTTTTTTTTTTTTTTTCCTTTTTGTCTTTTTTTGTGTCCGGCAACGGATCGCAACCCTCAGTGTCGCGCCCATACCGGACCGGGACCGGCAACGGGATCGCGACCCTCGGTGTCGCACCCACACCTCGCTCAGCCAGTGAGCGGGAACCGGTCTGTATGTGGGATCCGAACCCTTGGCAGGAGCGCCACAGCGCTCCCAAGCGGCGCACAGTAGCAGTGCGCCACCGGGCCAGCCCAAGGGTCCTTTAATTTCAACATAGCTCTCATAACAATAACTAAGTCATATGTCCTATGTCCTTTATTAAGACAACCCAATGAAAAAAAAATAATAATGTGATTTAGATGTGTACTTTCATCCAGTAATTTAAAAATTGTTAATTCTCTATAACATTTAGAAACCTAAATATCTTTTACTTATGTTTGTCAAAGCCAGTGCCGGATAATGAATATATTGCAGATTTATACTGGTAATTTTCTAATTCACCCAATAAAAATGGAGTTCATTTGCTAAGTGACTTTAATAAGATACCTAGAAAAATGAAAACTACACCAGACATTAATTAGTCTGTTAGCTGTCCTTAATCGTTCTTCCTTTTTCTGTCCTCATTCTAACCACTCTATCCCACAGTCTAAAGCTATTTTGTAGCCAATTACTCAATTACTGAAACCTCCCTCCCTTCTTACTCTCCCCCCTCCCTCCAAACAATGCCCTTTCTGTTTGCTTGTCGTTTATTGTACAATAATCAACCACATTGTATATTGACAAAATTTTTTAAAAAATACAAAAAGTAAAAAACAGGTCAAAAAAAATAAAACATGAAGATAGTTGAGAACCTACCTTTAGTGTAGTAAAAATATCATTGCTTGCATCCATGAACCATTCACTAATGTGCAATTTTCTTGGTTTAGACTGAAAATGTACTGAAGCAAGTATCTCACTTAAGTTTCTAAACCTAATACTCCATAATAGGGGTAACATACTTATGTTCAGTGACCTATAAATAGTTCACTTAGATAGTTAATTTTGGGATGGAAATACTCATTATGTGAAGAGAAATATAATATCACTAATAATAATAATAATAATAAAACCTCTTTTGTATAAAACTTGGTCCACTGACATATAACATAGGATTGACTTAAAACTTTTTTAGAAATGTAGACTCTCAACCCCCACACCAGACCTACTGAATCAAATTCTGTTTTTAACAAGTTCCATGTGTGATTCATATGAATGTCAATGTTCAGGAAGAACTCACTGGGATAAAGTCTATCTGTCCATGTGGACAAGGCCATATTTCTTCAATTACTGAAACCTCCCTCCCTTCTTACTCTCCCCCCTCCCTCCAAAGAATGCCCTTTCTGTTTGCTTGTCGTTTATTGTACAATAATCAACCACATTGTATATTGACAAAATTTTTTTAAAAATACAAAAAGTTAAAAACAGGTTAAAAAAAAATAAAACATGAAGATAGTGAAACCTACCTTTAGTGTAGTAAAAATATCATTGCTTGCATCCATGAACCATTCACTAATGTGCAATTTCCTTGGTTTAGACTGAAAATGTACTGAAGCAAGTATCTCACTTAAGTTTCTAAACCTAATACTCCATAATAGGGGTAACATACTTACGTTCAGTGACCTATAAATAATTCACTTAGATAGTTAATTTTGGCATGGAAATACTCATTATGTGAAGAGAAATATAATATCACTAATAATAATAATAATAATAATAATAATAATAAAACCCTCTTTTGTATAAAACTTGGTCCATGGACATATAACATAGGATTGATTTAAGACTTTTTTAGAAATGTAGACTCTCAACCCCCACACCAGACCTACTGAATCAAATTCTGTTTTTAACAAGTTCCACGTGTGATTCATATGAATGTCAGTGTTCAGGAAGAACTCACTGGGATAAAGTCTATCTGTCCATGTGGACAAGGCCATATTTCTTTGTGTAGACTGTTTCTTTGCTAATTCAGGTTGTTAGTAGATTTAAATTCCTTGCAGATGTAGTGGCAAGGTTCCTCTTTTTTTGTGTCATGTACAGCCAATAGAAAAACTGATGTGATGATTAGAATGATGTCCTCTCTGCCTTTTGATTCTTCCCCTTTGTGTGATTATAAAATGGTGAATTCTACTTGCGTCCTTTGAAGCAAATTCCAAGGTTACTTGGCTATATGTCTTCCAGGAGTGAAGCTTCTTATATACACACAGATAAACTCCTTGCCATGTGTATTTGGCCTCAGTTTCATTTTTAGGTCAAGACATGTATTAGGAGTGAGGTACAGAAAGGAATCTGAGGACAACTTTCTAAAGGTTTTGTAGATATTTCACCTTTAAGATGAAACCCAATATACTTATTTCACAGTTCCAAATACTCTCTTTGAAGCAGTTTCTGTGATATGAAATAATCATTTTACAAAGTTTACCAGAAAGTAAATTAGTCAAGCACCTTCATGTAGTATATTAAATTGTTAAAATTATTTTTAAGATTTACTTAAGGGTCCTTTAATTTCTTTTTTTTTTTTTTTCCTTTTTGTCTTTTTTTGTGTCCGGCAACGGATCGCAACCCTCAGTGTCGCGCCCATACCGGACCGGGACCGGCAACGGGATCGCGACCCTCGGTGTCGCACCCACACCTCGCTCAGCCAGTGAGCGGGAACCGGTCT